TCTCTCTCTCTCTCTCTCTCTCTCTCTCTCTCTCTCTCTGTGTGTGTGTGTGTGTGTGTCCCTCCCCTGTCTCTCTGTCTGTCTGTCTCTCTATTTCCTCTGTGTGTGTCTCTCTCTCCGTCTCCCCCACCCCCCGTCTCTGTCTCTGTCTCTCTCTGTGCAGCTTCTGGGCTCCTGTGCTTGAGGCTGGGTCATGGTACTGAAGTGCGGGGCGGCTCTATCCCCCGGCACGCTCTGTCTGGCCGCTGCGCTCAATGGGCTACTCAGCTTCGGCTTCCTGGCTGCGGCCATCGGCACCGACTACTGGTACTTGATCCACGTGGACGGGGCTGGGCGCAACGGCAGCGCTCGGGATGGCGAGGAACTGAGTTCTCACTCCGGGCTCTGGCGACTCTGCGAAGGTAAGGAGGGATGGGGCAGCCTCGCTTGCCCCTTGCCTGCCGGTGCCGCTACCCCATGGCGTGGACTGGAACTCCGTGGCTACTGGATCTAGGCGATCTGTGCCATCCATCCATCCAGGCGCGGCAGGGAAAACTGCACCAGCCTAGGTAGGAACTACAGTCCCTGCTGAAGGCTGGGCTCTTGAGGCGAGCGAGTAGCGGCTCAGGATGTTGAACTCAGCTGGCCCTTCATTCTGGCCGTCCCCGTCCCCCAGCACATTTGTGCTTCCTCCGCTGTTTTCCCTGCTAGTTAAATAATATGATATAGTTCCAGTAAAAATGCCAATTTGGGGGAGGGGGGCTCCTAACTCTCGTGGCTTTCCTTGTGCCCCCACCGATCCCTAGATTCTGTATCTCAGTGCCTCTCGGGTACCTGTAGGAGCTGGAGTCTGCAAGCTCTAGAAATACTGCCTTAAGAAAAGAGGAGCTCGAAGTGGAGGAGAAGGCTTGGTCTTCTGGGCAAAGGAGACAACAATGAAGAAAATGTGTGGCTGCTGCCAACTGCTGCTGTGTTTCTTCAGCCATCAGCTCTGAAGAATGCACCACATTTCTTGTGCATTTTTAAAAAAATAAGTGCAAGCCTCCTTACTCCTTGGGAAGCTACTTGATGCTATCACATTCGGATTCCTAGCATGAGTTTTTAGTATCTCTCATTGCCAACACATTGAAATGGCACGTATATATTGGATCCCAAGCTGATCCTAAGCATCTCCATTCATTTTGCATCCGGCTGTGAAACAGAGCCATGCTCTGTCTTCTGAGCGTTGCTTCCTTTTGTTACAATTGACCATAGCATCGAGACCCCCTTCTTCTAAGTATAGGGATGGGTATACCGTAGTTACAATTGTCTCATTTCTCAATATGGGAAGGGAAAGAACTTTTATGGCAACAGAGGTGGGTCAAGTATACAGTTGCATATCTACTTGCATAGCTAGGAGAAAAAGGGTACTTGCCATCAAGAGAGATTTACAACAGGCAGGATCTCTTTCTCACCCAAGAGACACACATCCCCCGTTCTTCCTATTTGCTCTTCCTCCAAGTCACATCAGAATCATGCAACTGGGTATGAAAGGCAGAAAGGGTGCCCCTATTGTGATGCTATCACAGGAAAAAAATTGAATGCACTACAGGGACTTGATTTTTTTTAAAGCTTTCATTGTCTGCAATGAGCCAAATTAGTGATCTTGACAAAAATAAATAAACCTCTAAGTACTGTCATTCAGCACAAATATTTGTTGGACTGCTGTTGTTTAGTTCTAGCTTGTGGTTTCTTTGAAGTTTCTACTGAACTAGGACATGCTTTTTGCTGAGTTTGCATTGGCCAGCAATCCAGCACAGTGAACCCCAATGCTACATGCCTGTTGCTTTTCTTATTTTGCTGCTTCCCCAGGACAAAATGCCTGTATGCCCCTGATCGACCCCTTTGGTGCAGAGAGTTGGCTGGTGCCAGCATCACTCCAGCATCTTATCTGTGAGTAGAGAGATTTATGTGACTTCGGCATCCTAAATTTTATGTAGCTCTTTCCATTTTGAAATTCACACTGTCCTCTGTAAAAACATAAGAGTTCAGAAAGGGGGATGGAGCCTTTTGTAAAACTGATTATTTCTAGAAGTGGGCACTGTTTAGTTTTGGGGATGGGCGTAAGGGGAGCATTTGTTCTTTAAGAGGAAAAATTGATAGATGTTTAAGAAGGAGTGATGTTTCCGGCAGATTGCTATAATTCAGCCATTGCATAGTCCTATATTCAACTTCCAGGATTTTGCTTTCTTCTTTTGTTATGCCACTGTTTTTTTTTCCTTTGTCAGACATGCATCGAGCCTTCATGATCTTGCTGCCACTCAGCCTCATCTTGATTATTTTTGGCTGGATCTGTGGGATCATTGGTTCCTTGGCCCAGATTTCCTGGCTTCTGCTCTTCACAGGCTGCTATTTTCTGTTGGGTGGTGAGTGATATTATGTCTGGAAAGACTCCGAAGAATCCCTTAGCATCTCTGTATTACGAGCCTGCCTGCTGTTCCTAGTTGGACCTGACATTTCAAATGACAGTGTGCATGCTTTGTTTATGACATCAAATATTCACCCGCATCATCTTGGATCCAAGTAGTAGTTCCTGAGATTATGTAGGGCAGGTTGTATTTTTAGCAATTAATTGAGACTCACAGCAGATTTGGACATAAGTTATCCGTGAGACATCTCATAGTGAGCAGTTCAGATTACCAGCAAATGAAGTGGTGAGATTGCTGTGAAAATCACATTCACTATGCTAGAAGCTATAAACAATTAATTTATTCTGAAGCCAATAGGATACACAATTGAAGCACAGTTGGTAGCTAGATTTATCCAGGTCTTTTCTGGACAGAATCCCCAAACATTTCTCTGGCAGGGACCACTCTCCTGTGTGACTTATTTCTTGGATAGTTACAGTAAGCTCTCTGGAAACTTATTTTATGAAGGTGTGTCATCTAAGAATTTGCTTTGTTAGAATGCAAAGATCTATCAAGTTTACAAATGCGTCTAGACACTTCCAAGCAAACCAGGAGATGGTAGCCCTGCCTTTTTGCTTGACCATCTGTTTGTGATCTGGACTGCTCCATTTACCTCCATTGATACCAACAGAACGACTCTATTTGCTACTCAAGTTGATGACTTTTCCTCCACTTTTCTTCCCATCCAGCACTCCTGACTCTGTCTGGGACAAGCACCTATATCTGCTACTCCAAAGCGGCGTTCATTGAAACTGTGCGTATGTTTGACCAACAGCGTTTTGACCGTGTCCATATTACCTTTGGCTGGTCCCTGGCACTTGCCTGGCTCTCTTTTGTCACTGAGGGTTTAGCTGGCATCCTGCTTCTCCTGGCTGCTCAAGGACTCCGTCTGAAGCTGGATGCCCATTCAGCAGACATTTAATTCTGGGAGAAGGTGGGAAAGGAAACGAGGCGGTGCCAGGCCTGTGAAGTAATTATTGCTCTATAATACTGCTTTCCTTAATCTTTTTTTATAGGAAATGCTGATGCTCATGCCCTGCTCTGGTGTAAACACAGCACACAAAGATAGACTGTGCGGCTACTGGGCTGAGACTGTGCCTACTGTAGAAGAATCCCTGGTGAATGTGAAAGGCTAAGGGGTAGCACAAATGGAAACTTCTGTTAAAAAGACACCATGATTCCATTTCTGATTGTTGTTTTCATGAACATTGGAAGGGAACATAGAATTGAACTCCTGGTGTGCAAATTGAGTTAAGGCGTGCAAGCCAGGATTTATTGCCTCTCCAAGAATTACGACAAATGTGGCTAGTTTGCCCTGATTGTTTAATGCATTCCTTATTTCTCCTTTTCTTCATGGCTTAATTTCTACCGGAATCTCTCAAAATAAAGCAAGCAAATCTAACACCTGGCTGCTAGTTTCTTATTCTCTCCCTGAAGCAAAAAGGAAATGTAGATATAATTAAATAGTTTGTAGTAGCTCAGAGAAGTAACTCTCTGTTAAATCTCCCATCCTGCCCTGAAAGTGCAATGAGGTATAAAGAAGAATGTAAAACAGTGTCTCTTTCTGTGCAGAGAGCAAGAACGTTTCTCAGTCAAAACTGATCTTGATGTAAAGCGTTTTGGATAGCATTGGAGCTATTGGCCTTCAGACTGCTCCTACAAACCAGCTGTTTTTCTCATCCTGCTGAGATAGGATTGGCTACTTGCAGTCTGCTGCTCTCCTATTGTTTTCGCATGGGGTTTTAATGGACTTGAAAGGTTTTAGTGCAAGGATATGTCACAGTAAAAGGTGGCATATGCATTGGATCAATTTCCACCTTAGCCTTTGGAGTCTTCTAGGAACAGAGGATGGAAAGCAGGTTTCCCTTAACATACCATGTTTTAAAAAACAGAATCTGTTTCAGTGTTATAGCTGTGGAGTAGTCAATGAGAGTTTTAATAGGAAGGAATGAAAAATCCATGTTGGAATCTTAGCGTGTTAAATGCTTCTCTAAGAGTAAGTCTACTTTATGTTAGCCAAGCTGAGTATATTTTGATATAGTCTAGGTTGGTCTGCCAAGCATCAGCTTCACTTCTGATGTGCGGATTGATTTGTCCTCCAAAATGTGTAATCCAAGCTCTGCTTCTTTGATGTTTCCTGGAGATTTATAGTGCCAGATAGCACTTAGGTAGAATTCACCCTATGGGGGAGCTGGGTGTTAATTACTTCACCTGCACCTCCCAATTATTAAAATTAATCATATTAATATTGTTTACATCTTTATCTTAACATATATTCTTTATTTCACTGATCTCCATTTATTTCTCATTTCTGTTTTTATTCTCCAACCACCCATAAAATAGCTCCCATGTCCCATTCTTTCTCCTTTATAGCAAGTGTTAATCAGTTCATTTCTGCACATTCCAATATTTTCCTAATCACATTCTCATCTGTAGGGATCTCATCACTTTTCCAATTTTGAGCAAATACAATTCTAACTGCAGTTAATACATGTATAATTAAATATCCATTTCCTTTACTGTAAGTTTCGGGCAAAATCCCCAACAAAAATATTTCTGGTTTTAAGTCAAGATGCTGCCTTATCATCTTTTCTAAGCCACATTTGTATTTTTGTCCAGTATTTTTTTGCCTCTACACGTGTCCACCACATATACCCACCTCTTGTCAAGCAAGAGGGGAAAGAAATGGAGGCCACATATGAAGGCACTGGAGAATGGAAAAGTCAATCCCCTCTGGATCCAGTTAGGGGCCTTGTTTAGAAGTTTGAGAAACTTCTGTTGTAACCATCTATTGGTTCTTGCAAGCTCCAGTAAGATTGCTCTTCCAAGCATCCAATTTAGCTGCATATCCAAGTAATAATCACAGTGTTTCCATTTTTTTGTTAGGCACAGGAGACATCACAGGAATGAGAGAAGATTTGGACAAGAAGTTACTCTAGTCTTTTTACTACAAGATTATTATTTTGGAAGCAGTGAGGTGGAAATGCAAAATAGTTTTTGTAGGTCATATTGCTTCTACTTAAAATGACTCAAAATACCCATTTATTTAGCGAACAAGGTGATTCTTCAGAAAAATTAATCATCATCTCTGTGCTTGCCCCTTTCCCCCATCTGAACAATCTGCCTTCTCAAGGCAGGAGAACTCAAGATGAAGATGGTACTTGTTCCTGTGCATCTGCTGGAGTTTGTATTCCAATTCATCATGACTCATGATCCCAACAGAGGAGTCTGAAGGACCCCAACTTCCTATTCCAGGATGAAGTGGGTAGATGAAATAAGGTAGATCCATTATACCAGTTCCATTTAATTATCTTTTAGCACAAGAATTTTAATATAATTTCTATTCTAATTAAAGATAATTATAGAGTTGTGGGCAAGTACTCTGTGTACACCTCTACACTCTGAAATTCCTTGTGCAGAATGAAATTTGAAGTGCTGCACAGCCTGATTTATTAATACCGAGATGGGAGGTTGTTGCAGGCCAGATTGGAAAGTTGAAAAGAAAAACAAAACAATAACAACAAACCCCAGTGATAAATCATATTCATAACATGGTCAAAAAGCAGCATGGAACACGTCCATGTCATCACAAAGAGTTAAGCTTGACTTGAGGGAGGTCCCCGATAAGTTCCATCTTAATATTTCATATCTAGAAATCAGAAGATCTTAGGAGTCTAAAGAGGAGGGATTCTTGATTAATAAAAAGAGTTACAACTGATAAGTTATCTGGAGGCCAAACAACCTACCTTTGCAGTAAAATTGGTTAAAAGCCTAATTTCAGGATGGAGAGTTGGATATATACCGGTACATGTGTTTGAGAGAATATTTGGTGGAGTTGACACCAATTTATGTTTTCTTTAGGTCCCTTTTGCTTTTGCATACGGTTTCCTGATACACTAGGAACAGTATAATCACTTTGGCAGGAGAAAGAAATCCCATCCCTTTCTTATTTTGTTGTTGTTGTTGTTAGTTGCGAGTCATGTCCAATCCATCACAACCCCATGGACAACGTTCCTCCAGGCCTTCCTGTCCTCTACCATCCTCTGGAGTCCATTTAAGCTCACTCTGACTGCTTCAGTGACTCCATCCAGCCACCTAATTCTCTGTCATCCCTTCTTCTTTTGCCCTCAGTCTTTCCCAGCATCAGGTTCTTCTCCAGTGAGTCCTTCCTTCTCATTAGGTGGCCA